AATTTTACCTATTAATTATAGCCATTCAACATTACAGTATAATTGAAAGCCATTATTTTTAACATTTAATAGGCTCTGAAATATATAACAACTTTTAATTTAAGTTATTTTAAAACAATGTTCACATAAACTATATTATATATGCATAAACTATACATACTAATCTATATTCAAGCTACAAAAGTTAATCAGTGACTAGAACGGTCCAAGGATTTCTCTTTTTCTTTTGTTCTTTGATTTCCATCAACTGACAGACTTCAGCAGGTTTCACTTTACAATCAGCGCTGTCTCTTTAAAACCTGATGCATATGACAAAAACCACGCATTTTGACATAATTGTGTGTGTTTTCGTCCGTCCGTCTAAAGTGGCTCAGCGTATGTGTACAGCTGAACGTGCAGCCTTTCAAACTATACTTCACTGCACCAGTGCACCGTTTAGGCGGCATAACCCCAGGCATGTGTTGACGCATTTTCGGGTTATGAAGAATAAAGAAGGGAAAAGTTAATCTTCCGAAATGAAGCAGCAAAATCTTCTCAGGTAAAAATGATTAGAACCGTGTCTAGGGACAAGCTGACCATCAGCTCTGACCTTATCAGTCCGTTTGTATCCTATTATATGATTCGCTCTTGTCGCTTATGACAGAACAGCTAACGACGATGATCTTGTCTTCGGAAAAGATTATTTTTATTTGCTTATGTCAGAAACAGCGAATCTCTTTAAAAACTGGCTGTTGTTTTCACTTCATTGCATTGTTATAATTCGTAAAAGTTGTACCCGCCAACTGGCGACTGACACTGTTACATATACTCGCCAACGCTGATTTTTACTCGCTTTTGGCGCTTGGCGAGTGTTAATTTTAGGCCCTGTGTGTGTATATATATATATATATATATATATATATATACTGTCATTCAAAAGTTTGGGATAAGTGATATTTTTAATGTTTTTTAAAGAAGTCTCTTATTCTCATCAAGGCTACATTTATTTGATCAAAAATACAGAATATATTTAATTTATTATATTTAATAATCATTTGTACCGACTGAATTACAATTGCAGGGAATGGTGCCGTTTGTGTTTGTGGGGACGAAGGAAAGCATTTCAAATGCACGTATTCTGCTGGACTACCATCTAAATTATCTGAAGGTAAGAACCAGTTTTGTTTGTTGCCAAGACAATTACTATTGATCATACTTGGGGTTATTGTTTGAAACAAACTTTAAACTCAAAGTAATAAACTTTGGTGTATAACGCTTCTGGCTTGATTTACAATTTCTTCTTTGATGTTCAATAAGATGGCAAAAAAAAAAAAAAATCCCGTAGTCTTACAATGAAAGAATAACTCGGATTCCCGAAACGTTCTGATTACGGTTCTTCTTAACTGCTATTTTCTTCTTATTTTCTATATTAAGAATATTTTGTATTTCCAAAAATATGTCTTAAAAATTATTATTCCTCAAGATAGTTCTCAAGACAAAACTTAAGAATTAAAATTTTTGAAAAGAACATTCTTGAAAATCATTGTGAATAACTTCGTAAAGTTAGGACAACCTCCAACTTGTCTTAAAGGGGTCATATGATGTTGCTAAAAAGAACATTAGTTTGTGTATTTGGTGTAATGAAATGTGTTTATGCAGTTTAAAGTAAAAAAAACACATTATTTTCCACATACTGTACATTATTGTTTCTCCTCTATGCCCCGCCTTTCTGAAACGCGTCATGTTTCCAATTTGGAATTTTATTTGGAATTCTGCGTTTGTTCTTGCAGAGCTGCGGCGATTCTGTGAATGCGAGTGAAAAGCGGTGCATCAGTACGGCGCTGAGACTTTAGTCTTTGCAACTTTACAGATCTTCTTTATGCACCAAGAGCTTGTAACACTCCAAAGAGAAAGGAAAAATTTAAATCGCATCATATGACCACTTTAAATCCGCAATCGTGAGACAGATTCTTTAAAACATAACTATTTGAAATACATGCCAAGCCAGTCATGATGAAAATTTTGAGTTTTATTTGATTTATTAATGCATTTTTTATTGATTTTTTTTTTAGTTTAACCGAAAAGTTTTTTTTTTTTTTTTTTTTGTTATTAGTTGTGCCACAACTCTTTACAAACTTTTTAGAATTTATCTTAAGAAATGTTTTAACTTCTTTCTTTAGAAATGATCCATTAATCTGCTCCCCAGTATACAATCGAGACCTGGGTTTGGCTTTTTGATCTTAGCATTTGTGGTTTTGTGCATTTGTTTGTACGAGTTCTGCTCCAATAAACGCCACATTTTCTTCAGAAAATGTAAATGTATATTTATCCTTCCTGTTCAACAGATTTTCCTCACAAAGCCCATTATATTGTTGTTTAGTGACATACTAAATACCCTAAAGACACAGATGTTCACTACTCTGATTTAGCCTCGCGGTGCATTCTTCATATGTGTTTGGTCTTGTTCAGGAGGTGGATCAGCTGCGAATGGAGAGACTGCAGATCGATGAACAGCTCAGACAGATCGGTGGAGGGCCTAGAGCTCTGCCAGGACGACCCGAGAAAGAAAAACCTTTCATGGCTGATAATGGAATGGGACCCTCACGGGGTGGCGGCAAACCTTTTGGTCGTGGAGGGAGAGGGAGACGGGGCCCGACACTGACTTCAGGTATGACCAGCCTCAAGTAACAAAATTAGAGCTTATCTGGACATGGAACTTGGTGGCCCCAAAAATCACACTTAAATTATTTCAATTTAGTATGTCTTTCTGTAATTTAAAAGCCATTGGTTTGATATGGAAGCATCAGTCGAGCATTAGTTAAAACGTAATGTTAATAATCTGTTAATCACTTTCTTCATTATGGACTGTATTTGTCCCAGGCACCAACTCTGAGGCCTCTAATGCATCCGAGACCGAATCCGACCACAGAGATGAACTCAGTGACTGGTCCCTGGCCCCTACAGATGAGGAGTCCATGGGTTACCCCAAAAGGGCCCCTGATGGACGCAAAAGGGGTGGAGCGCCCCGGGGTCGTGGAGGGAGAGGAAGAGGAGGATACAAAAGTCAGTTTTGCTTGTTTCTACAATGTTTCTTACAGTATATAAAAATATATGCATTTGATATCGAGAGTGTTTCAGTTGAAGAATCAATCAACAATACATTAATCAGCTTTTACATAAATTTCGACATTAAGATTTTTTTCTTTATTTTTGATATCACGTATGCGTTTTTAATAATGTTTCTTTTTGTTTTTAAATCAGCTGAAGACATGCACTGGAATGAGTCCCGCTCCCGTAGTTCCAGAGACCCGAAGCTGAGACCCCAGGAAGACTCATTGCAGGTCTCACTCAATCTGCCTGTTCTATCATCATATGATCTGTTATTTCACTTTTTAGTGAATGTAATCATAACAGATTACACATACTGAATTTAAATCCAATATGTATAATATAGACAATATTTAGTGAAACTTTCTCTTTTGTTGTAAAATTTTATCCATTAACAAGACAGTTGGTTGTTAAAACCAGTAATCTAAACAAGGCTAAATGTTGGCCTATTTGTTTATTAGGGGTGTAACGATTCATCGATATGGATCGATACGATGTCTGATGATACGATGCATCGATGCCACGCGTAAAATATCGATATCTGTAGTATAAATAGGCACCTTTATTTTGGCACTGTCCACATTTTCACATAATGTCCGTCGATGCATTACCACCAATGCGTGCATTCTCGTTCAAACTCACATATCAGGACTCGATATAAGGACTGCCCGAAGGCACAAGGTGAGCATAAAAGACGCACGGGATTGTTGGCGGAACAGTCGAGCGCTGTGTGAGAAGTTTTCTGCGCACACATCTGAAGCGCACGCACACAGACACCCACGTCTGCACCGCGCGAATACTAAATTGAGCTCTCTTCCGCTTTTTTGTGCATGGATGAATAAATACAGACAAAATTACATCAAAATGCGCGTTTTGGCGAATACCCTAGTAAACACAGTCAGTTAGGCATATGTCTTAACGTAAACTGTTGAGAAAGAAAAGGCATGTGTATCAGTATATTAAATCCGTGCTTTCGTTCTTAAAGTGAAAGCAAACTAATTAATAAATCTATTGCTGTCAAAGAAAAATGCAAGTGCTCACTGCTCCTGACTAAATAACCTTTGTAACATCAAAAATAGTTGTTTAGCACTGAGCCCATAGTAGCAGCCAGAATTGTTTTTCCAATTGTTTATTTTCTTTATTATTAAAAAAAAAAAGTGTAGGCCTATTTTTTGTTGTGAATGTCCCAATTGAGGTACAGGATGTGAAAATTTCAGATAAATGTTCATGTTATATATTTTGGTTGCATTTGTGAGTTAATAAAAATGTAGATGGTTGTTTAAAATGGTTATATATTATCATAATATCGATATATATCGATCGATATACTCCTGTATCGAATCAAATCGTAATAATATCGTATAATTTTTTGAGGTATCGGCAAATATCGTATTGCTGGGTATGAGAATCGATATCGTATCGTATTGTGACTAACCATCTGATTTACACCCCTGTTGTTTATCATTAATATATACAATACACTTTAATACTTTTTAAAACTTTTATTTAGTTTATTTAAGAAACTCTTGGTAATTTTTGTCAAATCTATTTAGCAACATCAAATTTGAGTGTTTTCATAATAATTGAGATCAATACCAGCGAAATTTTATAATTTTTGAAGCAGAAATGAAGATATATTAAACACCCAGTTTTATTTAAAAGGTTAAACATATTTCAAATTGAAGCCTACAATATTTCTAAATAAAGCAATACGCCCCAAGAAGCTGTGGTTTACAGTGAATTTATAACAGCTAAGGGGCGCTGTTAGGCACAACGCGAAGCGAAGTTATTCCCAGGGATTAAAGTTCCGTCGCTACGATGGATTTCTGTCAGTTCATGAAGACAGTCACTTGCTTCATTCCTGAATGATTCAGCCGTTCGAACGAATCAATTGAATGAATGACTCCGTGATAAAATCAGTGACTTGCCTCCACCTGCTGGTGGATTTAGTTTCACTTTTAGCGTATAATTTCAGTTATTTAAATCATATTTCTGTATTCAAAATTGTATATTTAAAACATTAATCTCCACATGAATTTATGAATTTAATTGCACTCATGCTACCTCTGAGCCTCATTAAACGTCTGAAAATGTACCTACAAGCCACTTTTGTGTTCTTCTGTGCCACCTCTGTAGTACAAATTAATTTATTAATACTAATTTCATATGATTGGTAACTTATTTGTCTTATTCTACTTCTTATTATATTGCAGGGGTTAAAGCAAAAAAAAAATCTTTTGACTGAACATTTTTCTTCGACCAAACCCCATTCCTCAGCCATACCTGTCACACACCCAGTTTAAGAGCAGTTTTTTTATTCTTGTAAATAGGAGCGCTTGTCCTCCTAATTTAAAAGCACCTAATTTAGGAGCACCTTCTGAACAATAATCAAAAATTCTGATCAAAAATTAGCCTTCCTAATACGAGGTTGACATTTGACTCCTTAAAGTGACTTACAGGAGTATTTTCTTTTTACCTTTGTAATGGCATCATTTTCATCTGTGTCAAATTCAAAAATTTATGTTTATTATCTTTTTAAAATTTCTATTTAAAACAATATGTAGAATAAGACAAATAAGTTACCAATCATATGAAATTAGTATTAATAAATTAATTTGTACTACAGAGGTGGCACAGAAGAACACAAAAGTGGCTTGTAGGGACATTTTCAGACGTTTAGAAATTATACGCTAAAAATGAAACTTAATCCGCCAGCAGGTGGCAGCAAGTCACTGATTTTATCACTGAATCATTCATTCAATTGATTCGTTCGAACGGCTGAATCATTCAGGAATGAAGCAAGTGACTGTCTTTATGAACTGATGGAAATCTGTCGTAGCGACGGAACTTTGATCCCTGTATTCCATATACGTAGTAAGGTTTCACAGAATAAAACAGAGCAAATAAAGTGTAATGATATAAATAAAAACAGTATTCTTCCACCAAACAA